GCAAAAACAAACAAACAAACAAACAAAAAAACCAATTAAACAAACAGCAGTCTAAGTGATTTCGAGTTGTTTTACGGAGAACACTTGGCTAATGTTGAAAAACATGCACAAGTGCTTGTAAAGTCTTATGATTTATCACGTTTCCGTTGCGGTGGTTCATATGATCATCACCGATTATTCCCATACCTTAATTCCACTAAGTATGAATGGAAATGCAGTGAAATAAAACAGTATTTGCTTAATCTTACTGAAAATAGGATAGGAAATCAATAGAAAACGAAAATAATTTGAAACTGACAAGGGGATTCTTTTTCTTATGAGTTATCGATGTTTATAGATTTGATGCCTAAAGTTCCATCATGTGATTGATATGACCATCGTGTCATGTCATATCTAGATTGTCATGTGCTTTCCGTGTTTATTAAATGAGTACAGAAATTTTTCTTTAAGACTCTTAAGGACTCATCACTTTCGGCAAAAACAAACAAACAAACAAAAAAACCAATTAAACAAACAGCAGTCTAAGTGATTTCGAGTTTTTTTACGGAGAACACTTGGCTAATGTTGAAAAACATGCACAAGTGCTTGTAAAGTCTTATGATTTATCACGTTTCCGTTGCGGTGGTTCATATGATCATCATACTTTCTAGAATAACTCTCATACTGTCGATAAAGGGTACAGCGGTATTCCCTCTCTGAGCAACCACATCCAAGCTGTAAAGACTTGGCCAATAGACTATTTGTGATGGCGCTCTCGGCTGGGTTTTACCAAACATTTGGATTGTTTCAAGATTTGATGCTTAAAGTAGATTAAAAACTTTTCTTTTTAGAAAAGCCTTTTATAATTAATATTAGCTGTCTTAAGCGTTAATTTTAAAGTTCTTGTAGGCGCCTTTGAACAGTAGGATACTGGCGCGGTATAAATCTGTTATTATTATTATTATAAGTTTCGTTGGTCCTACTTGCATGTAGTCTTGTTTCCGCTGAAAATGACTCTTCAACCCGATTTCCAGTTGGCGATCCACGAAACCGGCTGTCCTCTTACAAGCGGAGTTTATCACTTCGAGGTTCTTCCGGGGGGCGGCTGGGACAACCTAAGAAATGTCCATATTGGCGCTGTTTCAGTGATGAATTATTCCAAATGTAAGACCTCGGACGACGTCAAGTATCTCATTCCCGATGATGTGTTTCCGTATCCCATCAAGGAAAGCAAAAGGTATTTATTTGCTGAAATGTACGATCACTGGAATAACTATTCGTCCACCACAACGAAGTCTATCAATGCCGAAGCTTGAGGAAATTTTGATTCTAGAACCATAAGTGGTTCGTTCTGTTCTGAGTTCGAATCAATGAAGAAACATCAAGTGAAAGATATAAGACTATAACCACACGAGCGCAACTACGCCATGAATTGTACACGGTGAAACTCCAATCGGATGCCCCTCTACAGCCAGCGTTCAAGTCACGTTTGCTTGAAATTGTCCTTCACGTCCAGCACAACAATACTGCTTATGCTAGTTTTCTCGCGCAGGTATTGATTCGAGATTTCGGAACGCACTATGTTACAACTGTAAAGGCTGGAGCAGCCCTGGCTAAAGTCGATCACTTGACAAAGAAATTTTTGGCTGATTTCGATGAAGATTACGGTAAGATCACAGTAGCAGCGACTGCCTCTTTTTCCGGGGTGTTTTGAGCCAGTATTAGCTATACTCAGACAACTGACAAAAAAGTTTTGGATCAATATACACAGAACACTGCATGTTCCACAGTATATACATTTGGAGGACCCCCATTCAGGGCGAATTTTACCATCGATAAATGGGAAGACTAACTGGCACACGAGCTGGTCGCAATTGATCGATCAGGTGACCCACTTCATTTTGCAATTACACCTGGAAGTGTACCGGAACTGTCTGAAGAACTGGTCTTTAAACTAGCCAACGTCGTCGAAAAAGCCATCAAGCAGTACTATGAGCACAACACCAGAGGATGCACCAAACTGAACTCTCCGGACTTCAGCTTTCAGGCCAACCTTGATGATGGATCTTGCGAGAGCCCAACCAATAACTACACGTTTGGGGGTGTCTATCAAACGTGCCAATGTGAGGGCTCTCCATCCAGTAATCCATGTGGGTCCTTTGTTCAGAAGAACCCTCTCACAGCCGACTACACCTGTAGTAATGGTTATGAAGCAGTCATGGTACATCAAGGTCGCACACTACAAACCTGCCATCGTGTATACCATAATTGGCTTCAAAGGATATTTAAAAGCTGCGACACCTATTGTGGATTTGCCAATTACTACACCTACTGATGTGTTGCGAAGGGTGCGGTGACTCCTAACACAGGATATCTCTTTGGTGGACTCTACAGCAATGTGTTAAAGAACCCAGTCACACAAGATCGAGATGTCCACCAAAGTTTTACGTCCTGCGCTTTGGGGCCACCATGCATGTCTGTGTGAGCGATGACTACGGGGTAGGCTTCCAGGAGTCTGTACCTTTTGGTGCCTTCTTCAGTTGTGATACTGGCAATCTTCTTGGTGTAAAGACATATGCCAGAAGTGCCAAAGGATCAAACCGTATGTAACCTCCCTTTCCCGTTTTACACCCCTACATCGGTGAGCATATTCTTCCTACTTGTCCTCAGACATTTACATGGTAACAAGAATAAGATAGTGTTAAACGAACACGAGCTTCTTTGATGAATATAGTTTCCTTTATATTCGTGACCTTAATGTTTGATCCAGGGGTGAGACTGTGAAGAGAATTAAATACTTAACACTCTAAGAAGTTAATATTTAATTTTTATTACCCAACAGCACGTTTCCCCTTCTTTATTAGGCGGAATAAACGCGTGCAGTTACAACATCTATCTTACAGTAAATCAACTACGGACTCCTTTACAATTTGGTCATATTTTTAATATTTACTAGGACATTTAATTAAAGACTTAATTCGTAACTAGTACTTCCCGTCACACCATTCTTCGAAGTGAGGAGCGGGACACGTCGCGAGATTCCCTTCTTTCAGCCTATACTGCGAAAATTCGAGCCCTTCTGCCAAATACGCCCACACTATCTGCTAGGTTTCTGCTGGAGACCAAAACTGGATTGCTTAATCTAGAGTCTAATGCACCAACCATTCGGCCACCATACATCTTCTTCTGAACCCTATGATTGGAGTAGGGTGAATTGGGATCAACTTAAAAGGGTGGAACCCTTAAAATATTGCGCAACCAGTGACTTCAAGTTAAGAAACTTTATGCGACTTAACACAACTTAAGGCGACTTAAGGTCCCAGAGTGGGCCTCTAGTTTCGTGCCCTTTCGAGTTGCATAACTCCAGAAGCTATCTCGTGCCGAAAGATAAAGTTATTCGTGCAAAAAAACGAAGCAACAGCGGAGGTAAATATCGACGGAATCTACATAAGGGAATGCTTGTTGACATCTAGTGATATACTGTAATAAGATCATAGTGAAAGATTTCATTCACGAAATTTTTTTATCAGGCGCCTGAACCAACATCAGTCTTAGGTTCTTTTTTTTTTTTCGCTGTAAAGCCTGAATGCGACTTACCTATGATGTCATTCATCCTCGCCCCTGCTGTGGGGTGGCCAAACCAATATTTTAAAAGTTAAAACCTTAACCATCCACTTTCTACCGTCGCAGTCCATGTCGCTCATATCTCACTGAGGACTGCATTCTCTATCATCAAACATAACGAGACAGATTAAACAGCGGATACCTATCCAAAGCTTCCTTCATTTTGCTTCTCCGTTTTACCCTTTGTTACCTTGCAGGTCACTCAAGCCTGGAGTTCTTCGTGAAACAGTCTGGTCCATTTGTATCGCCCAAAACCTGTCCAATTGGTTATTCTCAGCATTTGGGAACCGTTGAAGAAAATTGTGAGATTAACTTCTGCGTGAAGTAGAATGTATACAACAGCCAGGGATTCCCCATCATCAAAAGACCTCCTTACTCGAATGCGCCCAAAATTTAGAACTACACTGTGCCCTTGCTCGTGATCAACAATGACTCTGTACAAATTTGATTTAAACGATCAAACTCGCTTTGGGTTTTGGCGACTAAAAGGAAAGTGAAGGGAATTTCGCTTACTGCGTAGAATATTACGCGATTTAAACCTGCATGAAGAGTCAATCTGGTAGTATGATTTTCCAGGCGAGGGTAGTATTAAAACGGTATTTTGTCAGTAACAATGAAGCCATCATCAGAGTAAAGTGAGGGGTCGTTTCCGGTCGAACGACTGCACCGTGTTATGGTTATCACCCGTGGGGAGGGTCGGGGACTACATGGTTTTCAGGGGGAACGGAATGGGGGTATCAAGTTTTTTCAAAGAGCTAGATCTTCCCAGGGAATTAATTAAACATTTCTCTTGCATCTATTGCGTGTAGCTCTGTTATAGAACTAGCAGCTGAAATCAACCTAGAAGGTCCAGCAATAATAGGTATGGATCCCGCACGAGCAAACTTGAAAGCCTCCAGTCATGGCAAACAAAAGTCTTCCTCCCAGACTTCCAGTGATACCATGGGTGCTGGGACAGCGGCTGGTATTACTTTTGGCGTGACGGCATTGGCTGGATTCCTGATCGCAGCCATGGTCATTGCCTGGCGTCGCCATAAGACCATTCAAAGATAGAGCAGCAGTTTGATGGAGCCACTGAATTCCGCTGGGTATGGCACTCTTACTGAGCAAGGAAGTTCACAAGTTTGAATGTCGCAACAACTTTTTCCTTTAATTCGAGGTTAACGAATGTCAATAGGAAATTTGTCCAGATCATAGCTTAGTGTCTCTTTAAACGTTTTTGAAGTCGGTATTTTGCCATAAATGGGTTTTATAATAACTGTTTTTCAATTGACATACTCTAATAAGCGCTTGTTCTGTTGTAAGCGTCATGAAAGAAATAGCCCTAATTTTTGAGGCAAGGAGAATATAAAGAAGTGATGGTTATGTTTGATAAAGTACAGTTACACCTATTTACTCGATGATGGCACGCTTTTCGATTAAGTGTCGTAGACCAAAACCAAATTAATGATAACAGCCAATCAGAAGTAAGCAAATTACCTTTAAGAGCCAATAAGAACCAAATTACCACAAGCGTGGGAAAACGCGGACGACACAGTCATGAATTGATTTTAATTTTGCATCAGATTGGTTGGTAGTAGAGAAAAATCAGGAGAACGGACATGACTGTCAGGAGTGATGATGGATGCAAAAAATGTGCGCTCTGTAATAGTTGATTTTTAACTCTAGGACATTGATAAATAATTTTAACTGTTAAAAGGTTAGGTAAATAATTCTATAAATAGGTTCCAGTTTTCTTATTTTTAAAGCTTTTACCCTGTGTCTCCAATTAGTGCTACGCGCTAGGTTTTTACGATACATAAATAAAGTTCACTACTACTACTACTACTACTGACCATCACATACCAAAGTAAGCAAAAACAAATCTGCAATGAATTGGTATCCTGTCTTGGGTTGAGTGGGACTGTTACTAGTCACTTGATGCTGGTGAAATCGGAACAAACTTAAGGACCTGTCCCCGTCTCCCGTTCTACGACGAGTTTTCATGTCTCCCACGCTTAGCTTATCTTACACATCACTCAGGGTCTCATCTTACCCTTTGAGGGATACATGGTGTGACAAATACCCTCTTAGAATTTGATTTCTATAACATTTAGCAAATAACTTGAAATACTGTTATATGCTTTTAAGCTGACGTATTTTTGCAGTTGCTGGTAAATGTACTCTTAAGGTTTAGATAAGAGATGGTTATATATAGATGGCTGATCGAACGAGGATAATCTAAAGCGCGGGAAAAAGCTGGGAACCAAGTCGTGATTGGTTTAAGTTCTGATTGTTTGAGAATTAAAGTGGCGCCGTAAATTTTCTGGACCAATCACAGAGTGAAGTAAAGCAAAACCAGAGCAATCCCAGATAACTTTCGTCGAACTGTTGAGTTTACTTTCATTACACCCACCGTACTTTAAACTTTTCTCTTAATCCTGGCTAATAATTTTTATAGAAAGAGCTGACAAAATTGTAACATCAAACAAACAGCCTTTTCTCCCTATCCCTAGATTAAAGCTACCAATTTTGCGTCGTTTTGTATTTTGGGTCCAGTTTTCCGCTGGAACTTATTATTTCTGATCAAGGTCGATCAGAAAAATCCGCAAGCTTTAAAACCAGTTAAGTCTTAAAGCTTCAGTGGTTGGTTACTAACCACCAGCTAGTAAAAAAAAAAAACAAATCTGTAAGTCATAGCACAAAAATAAAGAATTGGAGTGAAATGCTCTGTATATCGCGCAATGCGCGCGCATTCATTTCTTTGAAAAGTAACCGAACAGTTATGACGTGAGCATTCAACTTCTCCATTGTTGACAGTTAAGTAAAATGGACGCCCTACCAAACGAGTTACTGGCCTATATTTTGGCGTTTCTACATCCTGTTTACGATCAACTATCTCGGCTGTCTATAGTGTGTAAGCGTTGGAGGGACGTCATAGAGAATACAGCGTCTCTTTGGAAGTGCATTCATTTCACACCCTCCTTTCCGCAACATTTGTCACCCACCAAAAGGGATAGACGTAAGCTGCGGCATTGCCTCTTAAAGTTCGGAAATTTCGTCACATGTTTAAGGGATGACACAAAAACTTTCACCGACCCAACTTTTCAAGGACTTCTTTGTCGTTTGAAAAACTTAACACGCTTAGATGTGCCCTTGTTGGAATGTGACCTACAATTCTTACAGACATTGCAGTGCGCAAACGTATTGGAAGAGTTGAATCTTACGAAAGCTACCCGTGATGATCTGACAGAATTCAAATGGCCGTTACAATCAACAGATTCCTTGGAAAAAGGTTTCGTTTCACCACAACATCTGCAAATGCTTCTTTTAAGATTTCCCCATCTCAAAGTTTTAAAGGTTGCACTGGATTCTATCGCGTCCCCACCACCTACTTTCATCGCGTTTCTCCAAAAAGTAAACCTAAGGGAACTGGAACTTACTGGGTTTAGTCTCCGCTCAGCGTTGCCCCCGCAGATCATCCATAACAGAGACATGTGCTTGAAGACCATTGCTTCTTCTCAGCGCCTCGCTGCTATAGTCACTCGCCTAGAGCTCAAAACATGCCCACTTTTTTTTACGAGCGATCACTTGCGAATAATGCTAAAGCTCATGGCTTCGCTTCGGCATCTGATTATTGGGGCTGGTATGGTTCATCGCGACCGGAAAAGTCTGTTATCCATTGAATCTGCCTCGCTTTCCACCCTGATGTTAGATGGATTGTCGACCTTACGAATGCAGTGTTTGCGTTGTAACACACCAGTATTGAAAGAATTCCAGTTGATAAACTGTCTCGATCTGACGGCTGCTTTTGTCTTTTCCAACTCCTTGGAATCAATGTGTTTGCGTAATCTCGCAAACATTCACAACCTTAAATCCACTTCGACACGTTTGAATCATTTGGAGTTCGTGGGGTGCCACTCTATGCCTACCACCACCTTACGCAATTTTCTTAAGCGACACCAAACAATCAGTAAGCTCTCTATCGTCGGAGAGCTCACTGGTCTGACGCTGTTTGGCGCTATGTGCCCAAATCTTAAAGTGTTGAACATTTTACTCTGCCAAGCGCTTAAACTCAGGAGTATAAAGATCGACTGTCCTGAGCTGGAACATTTTCACTGTGATGTGCACACCGAACCCGAGGCATTTCCGAACGAGCGATCCACATGTACGGTTTTTATCCGAAGTCAAAAACTCGAACATGTGTCAATACATTTGCCTAATGCAACTGCCATTGCTGTGAAATGCGAGGAGCTAGGTTATTTAAGTGTAAAGATGAGCGAGGTAGGAAGCGACAATAAAGCTGCGCTTGACTTCGAGGTTATCTCTGGTAAGATTACGATGGTAGCGACTACCAACTGTAAGTTTTCGCGGTATTATTTACAGTCTAGATTCATCGGTCGGTTAACTCTGGAATCATGTGACATGGAGAGTGACGGGGAAACCATACCACGCCTAGAGGTCCACACAAAGGCCATCGACAGTTTACGACTGGTCAACTGTCACCATCTACAATGCGCGGAGCTTCGTATTAGACAAGAAAGATTGGAACAAGTGTCATTTGAAGAATGCAACAATTTGCGTAATATAGTGATGTCACGCGCCGTGAAGCATACTCCTGAGATGGAAATGGTAAAATGTAGGTGCCTGGAAAGTATTTTCCTTTCGTCTGGCAAGTGTATCAACGTGTCGGCTCTAAATATAGCTTGTTCTAACTCCTGTCTTAATGTGCCCAGGCTACCACCCAGGTGTGACGATCAAACCTGTCTCATCTGTCCAAACTTATCAGAAACGCAATACTTTATTAATTGAAAGAGTCTTGTTTTCACTCAAAAATAACAACAAAACTGTGTGTATTTCTATTTTTGTTTGTACATGATTAGTGTATCCTGAGTAAGTTATTAAACTTGAAGTTCACTTTCTGGTCTCTGTTCTTAGCCTATTTAAGTATTTTAAAATTCATCTTTTTCGGAATATTTCTCATTTATTTAATGCCTTCTTTGAGGTGTTTTTTTTTTCTTTTGCGTTTTTCATGCCCCAGAAGTCATCCAGAGTAGTTCGGTGTACAAGCCTGATTACTGTCAGTTTTTTTCGTGGTTCGTGAAAAAGTAAGAGGTGGCCTATTTACATTATCAACTCAGTTGATAAAACCAAATTATCTTGTTATCTCTGTTTCGTTGAAAGTGAATGAGAATCACGTGATTTAGAACATTGATTGACATTTAAGCTTTGTACTTTAGATCACATTTCAGTCAGTAAATCAATTTCAAAGGGAAAGGTCTAGTATAAGTTGCTAACACGAAAGAAGCCTTTAAGCTAACCTGTAGCCAACGGCCAGCCACAGAAGTAAGTAAACACGATATGATTGTCAAATTATATTTTGAGCTATTTTGGAGTAGAATTATTGTATGAGAATTTAGTTATACATAGATACAAACGGTTTTTGTATTGTCCTTTTGCCAGATCAAATAATTGCAATATCGTCAATAAATAACAATCAAATTATACGACTTGTGGTGGATCAGTTCGTCGGCATTACTTTCTACGCGGAACAATCTCTGCTAAAGTTTGCGAAATTTACACTTTGTCTGAAAATTTTGCGATTTTTCTCCAACACATGTACGCGCTGCGGAACTATTTCTCTTGGGAAAATTGAGCGTGGTTACATAGACAGTCTTCTCCATCTTGGTCTCGATCATGGACATCTCGGAAGAAAACGCTGAGGTAAAAATTCAACAGGAGACTCGAGGAACAAATGGGAACGAAACAAAAGAGGAAGACCCAAAGAGACAGATTACACAAACGGATCATCTCAATCGAAGGCTATTGGGCGCATTTTTGGCGAGACTAAACAGCTCTGAATCAACTGTTTTAACCAACCTTCCACAAATGGACGTTTACGATGACGAGGATTTTGAAACAGATGGAAACTGTACAGATAATCGGAGTGTTAAAGAGGAGAACATTAATGAAGCACCTAAAGGTAGTTAATTCGACAGTAATGGAATCAAGAGATGGAAGGGAAATTGCAACTGATTCCTTCATTTGGACTGAAGACGAAGGATTTTTTTAGCAAAGGCAATGTTTTAAATGGTTTGATTTGAAGTAGTGGCGAGACTTGCCTATTCATTATCGTCGAAATTCACTGTTTTAACAGAGTTTTCGTTTCTGTGAATATTTCTTTAGGTTTCTCAATTGCCATTAACATGGGTAATATGTAACCAAGATCCCCGTTTCTTAGATTTCCAAGCTCTTTGTATCCCATGCTTACTTACCTCCATAGATTTCATAGAGCTCTATGTAATTGAAACAAAAGGTCCCACAAGGTTGTCTTAAACCTGACTGAGTGGGTTATTACTGCAGAGACTTTGAAACTCCAACTTAGGCAAAATAGATTCTTTCTGCTACTCAGTTCAACTTGAAATTGTTCAGTATTTAACAAGTATTCCAGCGAGGTGGACGTGGAAAGTGGTGAACGTTTTTAGAGCTGTACAGTGGCGAGTAAATTATCCATCTACTTCTTTCATCTACACTGAGAGTCTACAACAGACAAACCTGAAAATTAGTTCTTCCTTCCAATATACTGAGAATTGATCACAAATTAAACTCATTTGGTGAAATATTGTCTGGCAGCTTAGAGGTGAATAGTTAAGAACTATTCACCAAAGTGGATATTTACCGAGCTGCTTCGCGGCTCAGTAAATATCCACTGCTAACCACTGACACTGAGGTGAATAGTTGTCTTAGTATATACTAAAACAGTGAGATAATGTACACCACCAAAAATTGATTTTAATTCATACATTCCAGCAATGATTCCAACATTAATTTTCACGTGCAGAAAGGACTGTTGCAACAATTTGCATTATTAATTTGCATTTGTAAGCAAAACCTTTCTCATTGGTTTTTATCGATAAACTCCGGTTTAAAAACTTGAACCATTACCTTTAAACACGGCCAAACCGAATATAGTCACTTTCTTTGTGTTTTCAGGGACTGCTTCGTTATTAATTTGAGTGATTTCTTCACTTGTCACGGATGCAAATTGGGATGCCATTTTTCCCCAAGTTGCTCGGAGGTAAATAGCAAAGGATATTCGGAGTTTGACTAGCCAACCAGAGCACGCCTTCAATGCTATCCACTCTTTTAGTGTATACTAATTCTTGCTAATCACTTCTGAACTTAAGAATCAGCAAAGGCAAAGAGTATTATTCACTAGTGGCCAGTTGTTCAAAGGGTGGAACACTATACAACAGATAAACCACCATCCAGAAGACAAGGGTTAGCAAAGTGTATTGCACTATCTACTGGATTGAGATTCATCCAGTGGATATTGTTTTCCACCCTTTGAACAACAGGGGGCAGTGTGGTATATACTGATGTGGGATGTTGACTGTGAGAAGCTGTGTTAGGCATATTCAGATGCAACTGCTCAAATTCATTTAGTGCTGCACACACCCCACATTGCCAACACTCACACTCTAAGCAAGGCGCTGGGTCTGCAAAGGCACTTTTACACTCAGTAAGGAATCTGTAACCCTTAAGTAAAGTTGATAACCCTGTAAGGACTGTAGTTGATAGCCCACAATTTACCCAAGTTCATTTCTAAAATATAGCTAATTTTCTAACTCGGGGTTAAGGTTTTTAAGGCCCCAAAAGCATACCCAAACTTGTCCCTGTCGGTTCCTTCGCTTCAAATGGCAAAATGCAAGTAAGGATTCTAGACTCACTAGAAAAAGTTGTCATGTCTTTCAAGATTGGATTATTTCTATGGGTGCTTCTTTTGAGAAACAGCATAAATGTAAAATGAGTAACCTGTTCTAAAGAGAGAAGAGTCTTAATTGCCTAACAAAGCTTGATATGAGATGTGACAACAGAAGAAGAGAAATGGTGAATGGGACAGAGGAAACTTATAAAGGCTAATGCACTGTGGGCAGAACTAAAATACTGTAACTTGGATCAAAGCAGATACTTTCAAAAGGTTTCTCTCTGCTCCCCCAGTTTAATATATTTTCAAGGTGAAACTCCCTGAAACTAATCTTTATTAACACCATATTTTTACATGAATGATAAGCCATTTTTTGCAGTTAAAGAACTGAGCTGTCAATACCAGTATTAAATAAGTTTGAATATTGAGAGTAATGCACAGAGGTTATCAACAACAAAGATTTGTACAATTGATTTGTACAATAATTATCTGAAGATGACATCTTAAACAAATATCCTCAGTTTTATCCTAGATACATGTACGAAAAATACAATCATGAAAAAAAAAAAAGAGAAGACTCACACTAAAACAAACAAACAGCTGGAAATGAAATAGGCAAAAAATTGATGATTAACACTTAGTCTTCCTAACCCCTTATTTCATATCTAAAAATATAGTCTATTTAAAATGCAAATAACCAAGTAAAATTTAGTCAGTCCTTTATCAAGTACATATACACAGTGTTACTGCTATTACATAGTTATCAGAAGCACTCCAGGTTGGTGGTATTGTACAGCGTATATACAAGCTAGTGACTATGGTCACATCTATGACCACCCTATCAATGCTCTCTCAGTGGTCTCCATTAAGGACAAGTTCTTTATTTGCTGCTCGACTAATAACAGCATCCATTTCCTCTTGGGTGGTAGATTCCTTGTGTTGTACTAAGTCTTTATCTCCAGCAGTAACACCCCAGTTATCTGGCTTAGACATCCTAGAAGAAAATGGACGACCACTTGATGGATTGAGATTCTCCCAATAGGATCTGCGTGCCCTACAAGAAGACCAAAGTAAAATGAAACTACTGGTATTTCCAACTGGTATAAAAGGTCCATACTGCTGCCTTTTTCTCTATACAAGGAAGGAGTTTCATTCCTTTGCTTTAACTATTAGCTAGGTTACACAGTGTGTTTGAGTTACATACAAGTGGCTGATAAGTAAATTTGGTAGGCTTAATTGTCCATCAATCTAATGCCTCACAAACTCTCACTGACCTGTACATCTACCTCTATGTAAACCATGAAGTATATCTTTGCTTACCCTGGTATTGGCTTCAATAACTTTAAGAAGATGAGTATGTTTTGTTTACCGAGTTTAATTAAGATTCAGTTTTAATGAATTTCCTTTTTTCTTACCTGGCTCGAACCCATGGTTTGGTGTGCAACCTCAGTCCCTCTCCCCAAGGCCCATGTTTTTCACTGGCTTTTGGAAGCTTTCCCCTTTCCTTGGCCAACTAAATAAATAAAAAAAAAAAAAATAAATTCATAAATTACTATTCACATGAAACTAGTGTTCTCAGTCTCAGGATTAAATAACAAATCACAACCCTTGAAGCAAATTCCACTGATCCAAAACTAACATCTTCCAGTAAGTAATAAAACTGAAGAATGGGGTTTGAATGATTTAACTAGAGTACCAATTTAGGGCAAAAATGTACAGAAGACAAACCTCTTCAGCCACTGCCCTGGTGTGGTAAGGCTCAATTCCACAACAACCACCAATGTAACGGATTCCAGCATTGTATGCATCACGAGCAAACTTGTGAGCATCCCATCTTGTCATCAGTCTGGGTTCCAGAGCTGTTCAAAACAAGAGTGTTGCAACTGATCAATGTCGAACTTAACTGTTGCGGTAACCATAGTCGTTCAGAAATGTAAAACAGACCCAAATGTTGTATGCTATTTACCAGCCTACTCTCGTCACTCTGAAAATCAAAAACTCAGATCTTACCAGCCAGTATCTGGTGTATGTTGAAAAATGTGTCCTGTGACAGCAATGACTAACATACTCTTTAAAAGAACTATGAAGGAAAAACTTTAAAACCAATTCAAGAGAAATGTCCTTGTTAATAACCATGCTTTATGCAATACCCAAGATTTTAGAAAAGAGCCAACTAGAGGAAGGATTACAGTACAACTCTATGGGACTTCCTCAGAAGTTGCCACAGGTCTTTGAATGTAAGTTGGTCCTCTACAAAAAAATCTCATGCTCTAATAGAATGGCAAGTAAGGCATTCATTCAAGAGATACTACAACCCACCCTTTCTGTTTTACACCATCTTTCTGATGTAAAAAAAAAAAAAAAGGAGTTAATGGTATAAACAATTCAGTATTTACCCAAGGGAAATTCTGGGAGATCAATGAATCCCTGTTTGCCAGCATCTGGGGTTAAGTATCCAAGAGGCTGCACCATCAAATGTTTCTTAATCCCAGCTGCATCAAGTGCTTTTTTCATCAAGCGACATGCTTCAATGCTTTCATCAGGTCCAAAATGACAATTGATGCCAATAATATCAGCACCTGGTGTAACAAAGCATAAAATTGTTTCTTGTGAGCAAACAGATTGTTGCATTCACTAAGGGAAAGGACAAGAAAAGGGAAGAGCCAGCCCATGTTCGATATTGATCAGATATCTAGGCAGTCAGCCTGACTTGCAGTCTACTATCAAATTCATTCTAGAATTCTTTCCACAGTGAATGTTTTTTTTTCAAGGATTTTTAGAACAATCTAACAAAGATAACTGAACCCCTCACAAGATTTGAACAGATTTTGTTCATTCTGTGCAGAAACTTAAGAGTTGTGAATATAAAACTAGGAATGTGTAACTTTTTGCATAGGGAACAAACATTTGAATTGTGATTGTGAACTTTTTTAAAGACATTTGTCTATAGTATGCCCACAAAAATACAAAAACTCTGCATGGATGTTTGGAAATTAAGTTTTAGAGCACCAACAAGTTTTTGTTAACATTCTCAGAGAAAATTTAAGAATACAAGTAAATCTGTAAATAATAACTCACTAGGTCTTGAATCTCAAGGTGAATAGACTGTTTGAGGTTAACCAAATTTAAGAAAATATAAGAACAGCAACTTTGGCTCTTCATAAACAGTGACACAATTTGCAGTTGTGTTGCCATCTACTTTAAACATTCTTGAATCACTACATTCTATACCTGCATGAGCCAAGCGCACTGCACATTCCCCAGTAGGAATGCCGTGCAAATCTCCTTGGGGCCCAATGCACAATGAAACGGCAGTAGGTTTGCCTGTGGCTTTACATGACTCCACTGCCCATTCAGCTTCTTCCACATGTTCATAATACTAAGAGCAATTTTACAATAACATTTCACGCCTTAGCAATCATCATGTTTGAATCATGTTTGCATTACAAAAAACCAAGGTTTTACAATATGAGCCAGGAATAGGCAAAATTCACTCTCTATGTTGAGTGAAATCACCATTTACTACCTCTGAAATTACAATCAGTCAAGTCGAAATTGACCTTAAATTAGCTGCCTACATTGCAGTTTCTGCAGTCTCCTTCAAAAGTTTTTGAAACCCTTGAAAAAACCACAGGAGTAATGACAGGTATTTTTTTTTTTTAAACAATGAGATTTTAGGTTACAATTATAGTATTATATTCAACAAAAATCATGACAATAATCCTTTTTGGGTTCAATTCAAATGATAAACATTAGTATAAACAAAAATTAAAACCCATCAGTTTTATCATTTTTCATCTAATATTAAGATGTGCATTGCATGTTTTTGCATCCATTTTCACACTGATGCAGCCTTGACGGATTATTTGTTCAACATGTGACCCATTTCTAATTGAAGAATCCACTATTGCAACTCAGTGTTAAAACTTACTTCTGCAAGAAGAAAGTCCACATCATTTTTCAGGAAAATTTCTATTTGCTTCTCAAATTCTCTCTGACAAGCTTCTTTCCCTTTGCCACTTAAGTATGTTGGTGTTTGACAAACACCTCCACACACCAAAGCATCTCCTTCGTTAGCTACTTCAAAGGCAATGTCACATGCTGCTTGATTGATGGCTTGGCACTAATGGTGAGTGGAAAGAAATTTCAGCTGTATTTATTAACCACAGAGGGTACATTTGTTCTCCTTCACATGGTTGTCAAAAAGTTTGTAGGTTGGAGACAAGTTGTACCATCATACAATGGAGAATGAGAGAAACATTAAAGTGGGGAAACCAGCAAGTTCATGTTCACAAGGCATCCATTTCTTGCTTTAACATGGCACTGTCTCAATATAATCAGCAAAGCATCAACAGCAAATGTATGAGGTCTTCCTTCATCATGAGCACCTTCAACCATATCACCTTATATATCTCAGTAATAAACCTTAAAATGATGATGAGCTTATAGAAAAGCTGAAATACTTGAGGGGACAGACCCTCTTTAACAGCCACTATATCACTGTTATATGTTCATTCCACTAACACTGATAATGATTACATCACTGAAGCATTAAGTATGAAAATTGAATTGTTTGGAAACTTATTCACCACAACTATCATTGACTCGCCTTGGTAAATTTTCTTGGCCTGGTACTATAACATAACAGCATTTAAGAGTTCAGCATTTTTTGGAACCATTGGATAGGACAGAAGTAGCTAAAGAGTGGTGTCCTTTACACAGGTGCAGTTATTTCAGAGAGCACTCAAAACACAGTGATCTCCCAAGCATGATAATTACACACAATATAACTTACTCCTATTTGTGCAGCAGTGTTTCCACGGTTCCCTAGTTTGTCATCGCTAGCATAGAATGTGAAAGTTTGCATAACATCAGCTCCAGCACGAAGAAATTCTCTGTGAAGTTCTTTGACTGTGAATCAGAATAAAAGGCAGTAAAAATAGTTTCAAAATTTCTCAAACCACAATGCAATTTTACCATTCGGTTTACCTAACCAAGACCAAAGAAATTTTAATAAATGAAACCTTTCACATCCAACATTTTGACAGCAAGAGAGCCTTGGACATTCATGGCAACTAAAAAATAGTTCTCTCTAAGCTAACCAGTCGTTAGAATAATCTCATGTGTGGAATGGTCCACGTAGAAAAGAGAGAGGCTGGCAAAGCAAACAATTACATTAGGATGTTTAACATCACAATATTGTTACATTTTTGTCTCAATCACTGGAAAGGTAAGAACTGGGCTGATCAGATTGGTGGATGTAGCAGGTTTGTTTTGAAGACTTACTGCCAGCAATGTTATCCGTGTCCACATTATTATACAAAGATGACTGATATTAAATAAAAAAATAAAAAATAACAAATAAAAAAATTGGAATACTAAAAACCTCCTCGGGGGCTGAAGCAGAACTAGTTATCCAAAACCGGCCTGGCATAACCGGTTTTGCGAGTAAATTGCATTTTATGCCACGTCTATGGCGTCCAACCACCATTGACCTATTTGCTGCGTCGTGAAACAACGAATTTGACGAATTGCGCTTGATTTTCTATTATGCCGTTTCCCAAATAAACCCTAACCAAAATCCATACGCGAAACTTCCTTTGGTGTTGAGTTCTTGTGTGCGTGACTTTCTTTAACGCAAGTACTGTTTTGGTCTTCCCGTAACCTAGTCATTCTCTCCAAAGAAATGGACATACTTAGAGCGTGTTTAAGTGAATTAGGAAAATATGATAATCTTTACGATCGCCACAATCTCAATTAAGTTTTGCTCACTTGATCTTGTGTTGACGTTGATCTGAACTCGTGTAGTAACCTTGGAACACAATAGAAAAGGGCGCCGTCCGCATATTCAAGTTACACGAGGTATTTTCATTGCGTAATTACAATTAGTGAAGAATCTAAAGAAACATGATTTCGAGTATAAAATCGTCTCAAATAGCGTGTTTTTAAGCGAACGCACGATGTATTCCCAAACCAGTAATCTTTACCTCCCTTGTGTGTTCACACAGATCACAGACCAAAACAAAACACGATGCGAAACCGCTAAATTTGGTGGATTGACACGACATTAAAAAATGACTAACTTTATTCGTTTACCTGCCGATGGATATTCTACATTCACTTCTGGCGTCCAAGGACCAGCTCGAACATAGCCTCGTTTCTCCAGTGCAAAGACAAACCCGCCATCGCCAATGACAACTTCACCTGCATCAAGTCTCTCAAGAATGCCGCGTTTCTGAATAGACATGAAATTGACGTAAAAAAACCTCAGTTACTGAACTCACAAGAGAACTGAGAAAAAATACATCTTACCGGTGCCATTTTTCTGTAGTAAGAGTAATAAGAAAAGGGAGAACAGATCAGAGAGGTTCTGCAAATTCGTTGCGTTCTAAGTTAGTACGTGCGTGGTAACCTTCTGTTTAGTAAATACTCGTGAACACCCGGTAGCTCGTTTTACTCGTATGTGCCCCGTTTGAAACCGGTCCCTGAAAAAGTCGCACTCTAATTGGCTCAAACTGCCCGCCAAAACCTGCGTCGTCGAGTTTGTCTTGTGTGGCTGGATGAACAAGGATTTAATGAATGGGAAACTTGTGATCTCTTTGTTTTCTTCGTGTGGTCACGTTACGAAGAAACATTGGATTTTACTTGAGCCTAACCTCTGAAACTTTTTTGTGGTCACATGAAATGTCACTCAAGCTTCTTCAGCCGCTATAATGCACATTAGGGAGCTTAAGCAACCACGACGGAAGGGACGACGACGACGACGTCAAGCACAGGCAGCCCAAGCTCACTACAAGAAAAGCGGACGTGACTCTTACCGTATTGCGCAACGTTTTATATTTTTTAAGGTTTGTAAGGGATGTTATCGGTTTGCCTTAAAAGAGAGAAAAAAATGTCTTGTTTTGAAATAAAATGGGCTTACCTTATTGCTTTGTTGTTTTATTTGTTGATTCCGAGCGTCTCAGGCCATTTTGAAGCGTCTTCGGCGAGTTAGCGCTATGTTGGTGTTCAACTGCTAAAAGAAAGACAAGGCCGGAAACCTATTTTAGAAGTGTCCGTCGCCCGAAGCGAATAATTCCGCCAAAAAATTACCACCAGTCTCGATTCCTCCAGAAAATCAAAGCAGAGATGTTGCAGTTTCATTTCCATTCACTCGATTCCCAATTCCTCCCACAGATCTTTCACTAGCGATGCTTTTATCTCCAGATCGATCGGCTTTCCAATTTCGAATTTGGCTGCTTGAA